AAATAAATTAAATCAGTTACTTTATACATGGTGACAGGTTAAACTCACCAGCCTTATAATTATCTACGTCTCAGAATGAGCATAAAATTTAAGTTCTCCAATGGTCAATATGAGTATTTATTCATCAGTTAGCTTACCTGGTGTCATAAAGTTACAACAGAATCCCTGTAAAATCTGGGAAATTGGAAAATTCATAAAACTAAGTAATTATTGAAAAACGCTCAATCTTGATATTAAGAGTTATTCAATAGGTAATTTCATATTTATTGATTTACTAAGTTTTTTGGATTTATCGGATTATATAAGGATCCTGTTATGTTATTTATGACACCAGGTATATCTATTCGCCAAGTTTTATGTTAACTTTAAGACGTAGTATCACTTAAGACAGATGGTGGTAGGACTGTGCGATATACCAGTATCCGATAAAACCAGTAGAGGAATTTATATTGTTAGTTTATAATATCGCCTGATTAAAAAATACTAAAATATTGGCATATTGTGATATATGGTAGTTATCATGATATATTGTCAAGTAATTTGATGTCTGAATCAGAAACCCATTAATAATTCTGTGTCCCACACTCGGACGCCTGCTCTAATGATTCAAAGAAACGACACTGATATCTCATTCCTTCTGATAACCCTTAGTTAAATTTGATATTTTCCATTCTGCAACCTATCAGCGACATCATTTTAGATATAGATACAAGTTAACGTTGAGGTCAAGATAGATAGATAACAAATTTCAAGATTAAAAATTTTGTTAGTCTTTTTTGCTGTAGAAACTCGATACATCGCTATGTGTGTTTATGATATTGTTTTCATTTTACTTATTGTTACTGGTTATACTGATGCAAATAATGTACTTGATTTAAATGGAGTTTGGAGTATAACGAATGGTCGTAAGTATTGTGTTAAATAATTATCAATTTACAAGTCATGTTTCTTTACAAATTTCAATACAAAATGATGAATAGAACCTAAGAAGTTTTTTGCAAGTTACAAGCCATGTTTTTTGTTGTTGAAAATTTAAATACAAAATGATAAATAGAACAGATGAAGGTTTATTTGATACAACTTTGCTATGAGTTACACAATTACATTGTCTATACATATAAACATTTACCACGAAGAAATCACATTTGATGTTCCAAACCAGCAATATGTTGGAATAATGTTGTGCTATTTCTATAAATTGTCATTCAGTACTGTTTTTTGTTAGAATTTAACATCCAAGGTAACGTACCAGGAGATGTTTACACTGCTCTAATACAAAGCAGAATAATAGAAGATCCTTATCGACGTGATAATGATGTAGTGTACAGACCCTATGCTTATTATGACTATACATATAATAGAGAATTTACTGGTGAGTTCTAGATTTTTTTTGCATGTCTCACCTTCCTTATAAGGCCCTATCACGAAACGTATTAGGTAATTATATATGGGCCTACTGATGCAGGTCTGGTAAATGACATGGAAAAAGTGTGTAGTCGATTGGATAGGACAATAAACCGAGGTCCAGTGTGCTACAGGCTGTTCATGTTAAAGATCACTCTTCTTTAGAC